ATGATAGAGAGGAAATGACACGAAATGACAGAAGGAAGGTGGGAGGAAGGAAAGAATGAGGAAAAGAAGGGAGGGAGGGAGGAGGAAGGGAGGAAGGGAGGAGGCAGGGAGGAAGGAAGGAAGGAAAAAAGGAGGGAGGGAGGAAGGAAAGAAGGAAGAAGGGGATGAAAGAAGGAAAGAAGGGAGGAAGGAAGAAGAAAGGGAGGAAGGGACAAAGGAAGGGAGGGAGGAAAGAAGGATGGAAAGAAGGAAGGAAGGAGGAAGGAAGGAAGGGACGGAAGGAAGGAATACAATGGAGGGAAGGAGGGAAGAAAGTCAGGTGGAGAGAGAAAGAGAGAGGGAAGGAAGCCGAGAAGGAAGGTAGGGAGAAATTAAGAGGCCTGCATGTGCAATTATATATTACTAAAATGTTACTCTATGTGTGTCGTCTTTAACTGGACAAAATGGCGTCTTTGAGGGCAGCCATTTTTAAACCGAAGTATCCCCGATGGGCCAACTCACAAAGAGGCACACAAAATCCGGGCCTCAGGACTCTCTTTGGGACTGAAAAAAAACGGGCAGATTTCATGAAACGTTTCATGACCCAAAGACGGTGTCCCCCCACCCCCCAGCAGTGGATGACATCCTACAAAATGCCACCAGAAACGTTTCTCGCGGCCCACACCGGATCTTTGAGTTCCACACGGGCTCCTTTCCTGGAAGACCCCTCCCCCAATACAGGCAGTCCTCAACTCACGACCACAGCTGAGCCCCAAATTGTGGGCCTGGGACCACGACTGAGGCCGTAAAAGCAAGTTAAGTTGAGGCTTTGGAGCCTGTTTTTTAGGGCATGTCCTGCCACCGTTGTTAAGTGAATCACTGCAGTTGTTCCCTTAGTCAGATGGCCGTTCAGTGAATCAGGCTTCCCCATGGACTTGGCTTGCCTGAGGGTCGCAAGAGAGGATCATGTGACCGTCCCCCCCGGGATGCTGCGGCCGTCATAAATGCGAGTCAGTTGCCAAGCATCCGAATTTTGATCACATAACCAAGGGGGGGATGCTGCCAGCAGTCGTAAGTGTGGAAAAGGGTCGTAAGTCACTTTTTTTCAGTGCCGTTGTAACTTTGTACGGTCACTAAATGAACTCTTGTAAGTCAAGGCCGGCCTGAATCTCTCTGCATTCTTAAGAACTTTTATATACCAGAATAGAACAACAGAGTTGGAAGGGACCTTCAAGGTCTTCTAGTCCAACCCCACTGCTTGAGCAGGAGGCGCTATACCAGTGATGGCGAACCTTTTTGTTGTGGTGTGCCGAAAGCCCACCCACAATGCAATGCACCCTGCCCCCCCCCACGCATGCGCACACAACACTCCTGCCCCTTTTACCTGCACGGTGCAACTGCGCGCCTCCCGGCTGATTTTTGGCCCATTTGAGGCTGTTTTCACCCTCCTGGAGGCTCGAGGGAAGCCTCTGCAGCCTCTGGAGGCCGAAAAAATGGGGCAGTTCCACCGGAAATTCCGGAAGTGCCCATTTTCAGCCTCCGGAGGGCTTCTGGAGCCCTGTGCTAAAATGGGCCCATTTTTTTGGCCCCCAAAGGCTTCAAGGCTTCGCTTGAGCCCCCGGGAGGGCAAAAACGGCCTCAAACGGGCCAAAAATCACCTGGGAGTTGCGTGCACACACATGCCATAGGTTCACCATCAAGTTCTCCTGCTTCTTAAAAACCTCCAGTGATGAAGCACCCATAACTTCTGGTGGCAAGCAGTTCCACTGGTTAATTGTCCTCCCTGTTAAGAAGTTTCTTCTTAAAATATGAATGTTTTTAATTTTCCTTCTTTCTTTTTCTTTCTTTTTCCTTTCTTTTCAATCTTTTCTTTTCTTTCTTTTCTTCCTTTTTTTTTCTTTCATTTATTTGTATATGTATTGTTGGCTGTTTTTAACTGTTAAAACTAATAAATTGTTTTATTAAAAAAAAAAAGGAAGTTTCTTCTTAAGTCCCCAGTTGCTTCTCTCCAACCTAGTAATGGGGAAGGAGAGAAGCTGGACCCCCTCCCCCAAGGTAATCCTGGGAGGGGCCCCTACTTTATAAAAAAAAGCAGAATTTCGCGGTTAAAACAGCCGCCCGAGAAAAATCCAATGAAAACCACTATACGTTGTTTTGGTGTTTTGTTTTTTAAAGGCATAGAAAATGGGAAATCATAAACGTCTTGACTTACTTGTCTAGCTGAGTGCTGATTTTGAGCTTGTTGTCTTCGACAGAAAATTTGGCCAGCAAAGAAGCATCCTAGGAGGACAAAAAATGGACCCATCCTGACAATATTGCAAAGGTATTCTTCGAGGGGCACCTCCAAAGAAGACAGTGCCAGGAACCCCCTAAAACAGTCCCGAAAATAAAAACAACCTTTTCCCTTAGCAGAGGAAAGACCCGGGAAGCAAAAGCTCCGGAGAGAATTGGAAGTCTGGGCAGACTGCCAAAAAGCTATTCGTAGAAATAACCAAAGCAGAGGTTCTGACCCAAACCTTGCTCCAAGGAAACCAACACCAGACGGAGGTAACAGCAAAACCTTTTAATGATTCTGTATGAATTCCGTTCCTTCCTGGTTAAAAGGCTGTTTCAAACTAATTGTCTCTGGTAAGAAGGAGCCTTGCCAAGGTGGTGCAAGAGTGCCAAGAACACAAGATAAAGTTACCAAGAAATATTTCAAACACAAAGAGTCTCCAAACGCAAACTAAGAGAGGCCGAATGTCCACCAGGCTTGAGTGCAAAAACGTCTTTGCTTCCTGCAAAGAGCTCCTGTTTCTCAGCTGGCTTTTATCTCTTAAGGGAGAGGCCATTACCTTGCAGCCTTACTCCTGAGTCGCCCGTGCTGCTGCCGCCTCTCTTTCCTTCGAGCAGCCCTGTGTGCACACACACTGGGCACAGGCTCCTCGGGGGCCTCTTCCTCACTGCTGCCAGCCCCTACAACCTCCGAAGGCAGCACTCCACTCCCTGATGGTCCTGGCCCTGTCACTGCATCACACACAGGCCCCTCATCCAAGTCCTCACTCTCTGAGACCTCAGCTGTCTGCACCTGCTGCCGGTGAACCACAACAGCAGACCGGGAAAATACTCAAAACCCAAGCTAAAAATAACTCACCTAGGCAAAATCACAATTCCCTCTTTCCTGCCCCCTGACAGGATTAACCCCCAGGATAGGAACTAGTCCAGACTCCTGGATTAACCCACTAAGGCAGGAAGACAAGATTGAGGGCAACCGCTTCAACCAAAGGCACACCTCAAAACCAGGGATGGCCTGCTACCGGTTCACACTGGTTCAGGCGAACCGGTTGTTAATTTTATGGCCAGTTTGGCAAACTGACAAATCCCACTCCGGATGTAATCATTCCCCAAGTAGGTCTGTTGTAATTTTGAGTGGTTACTAAGTGAACCTGTTCTGAGCAAGGCTTCCTGAGACCGTAATTAAGCCCACGCTTAGTCCAAAGAACTCTTATTTTATTTCAACGCTGGGAATTATGTGCATTCCCAGCCGATAATGAGTCCCAAACAGTCCCTCGAGATAAGCACCCACCTTTCTCTCCTTTGAATGGCTGCCAACAACAAAAGTGCCAAATTAACTGTAAAAAAACAACCGAAGTACAAAGTCCACACAGAGCTTCAAGGCTTAATCCAAACAGAGAGAACAACGTTGCTTCCTGCAAAGGCTTCTCTACCTTTGCCTGTCTTTTATCCCTTAGGGGAGGGGCAATCACCTCCCAGCCTTACTTCCGAATCGCCCCTTTTGTCTCAGCTGCTCTCAGCCTTCTAGCAGCTCTGTGCATTGGGAAGAGACTCCCTTTGTTCCTCTGCCTCGCTGCTGCCAGAATCCAAAGGCTCCGGAGGCAGCTCCCCACTCCCAGATGGTCCTGGCCCCATCTCTGCACCGGACTCAGGACCCTCATCCAAGTCCTCCCCAGACTCCCTGACCGATTCCCATTCTTCCCCGCTGTCCGATTCCGCTGCCGTCTGCACTGGCTGGTGGCAAACCACAACAGAACCATCATAAGTCAAGGATTACTTGGAACATGACCAACCAAATTGAAGGTCAACTTTTTATGGGTCCGGGATGAAATCTCTGCCTGTCACTCCATTCCCACATCAGGAAAAACAGTTTGTAGAGTTTCCCCATCATCGTTTCATACTCACGATGTTCAGGACACAGAGAGATTTGTCTTCACCATTGGGCTCCGTGGCCAAGATTTCTGCGGTGGCTTGAAGTTTAATCACGCCCATGTCTTTCTGCAGCTTCACGGTTGGAGCCTCAGGGACCGAGACCTTCAGCAGAAGGGGCCGAGGCTCGGGGAACTTCTGAAAGATCTGGGGATCCCACCGCCCCAAGAGAGAAAAGACATAACAATAAGGAGAGGATCTTTGCAGCTCAGGACTGAGTCCGAGGTCCTGGATGCTCCTGGTGGGTTTCTGGCAGACATTTCATGACCCAGATAGGTAACCTCATCAGCGCTAGAAGGGAAGCGGGGTTGCGGAGGAGAAGGAGAGGGAGGGGGAGGGGCAGAGGAGGAAGAAGAGGAGGAGGAAGAGGAGGAGGATTTGGGGGGTTTTCTGGCATACATTTCAATACAACTAGGTAATGTCATCAGTGCTAGCAAGGTATGGAGGTTGTGGAGAGGAGGAGGAGGAGGAGGAGGAGGAGGAGGAGGAGGAGGAGGAGGAGGAGGAGGAGGAGGAGGGGGAGGAGGAGGGGGGGGGGGGGGAGGAGGAGGGGGAGGAGGAGGAGGAGGAGGAGGAGGAGGAGGAAAATTATGGGATTTCCTTGCAGACCTTTCATGACCCAACTAGGTAACAACATCAGTGCAAGAAGGGAGGGAGGGTTGGGAGGAGGAGGAGCTTCATCATTTTCTCGCAGACCTTTCATGATCCAACTAAGTAACAACATTCATGCTAGAAGGGAAGGGGTTTCCTCCCCGTTTACATAGCCAAGTGCCCATTCAAGGAACTACCAACCCCCCCGTCCACCAACTGGTGTGTAGGACACTTCAATCTCTTCTCACAGGCACAACTGCTGGGCCAGAGGTTAGGGGGTACAATAGGGAGGACACTGGGGCAGCTCTTTGTGCACATCAATGCTCAGCCGAGTTCTCTCTCTATATATATAGGTCACAGATCTCACAAATAGTGGCTAGGGCAATACATTTATGTTTTGATTGTACCTTTCATAAAACATGGAAAATATCTCTCTGTATAACCCTTGTGACGGTATATTTTTAGATTTAAGATTATTTTTCCTATTGGATTGTTTGAGAACATTCAACGATATGAGGCTGTGATATGTGGTATCTGCACTATTTCATTTGCTGATCAAATAGCAGTATTTCTAATGTGGCAGCTTAACTCTTTTCTGTTTAGTTAAGGATAACGCACGCAGATTGGCTTTCTATATGGAACACCTTGGCCGGATTGATTGATTGATTTGATTAATCATATGAATGTTGTGCTTATCGGGGTCATTAAAATGTCTAACATTACGTATGTCAGAGTTTGATTGAGCCACCATATTATTCTAAGGATCCATAAAGTAAATTTATTAATATAAATAGTAATATAATAGCTGGCGGTTTGTCTTTGGTACTTTGCTTCTCATTTTGTTAACCACAGAATACATGCCTGAGTGGCCTTATCACTTCCCCCAAAGTTTCCCTCTTCAAAGTAGCTAGAATCTTGCATCTTGATTTCATGAACCTTGATTTTGCAGGTGTATTTTTTTAAAAGTTCTGCATCCAAGTTTTATGCAAATTCTAGGCAGTGGTGGAATTTTGCTACAATGATGGATAAAGTATGTTACTTGGTATAAGTCTGGTCAATTATTGCTCTTCCCCCTTGAAATGGGCATTCACATATTATCGGTAAATATAGCTTGGAAAGTAGGTTTCTTCAGAACTGTCTACTTAAAATAAACTCTATTTTCTCATCCAGCAAGATCCTTCCAGGATAAGTTGCTTGTTGTCCCCCATTTTCATGAGGTGAGATGGGGTAGAACCAGACAATACTGTTGTTATTATTATTATTATTATTAACACGCTCTGATGCTAAGGAGTTCTATTCCCCTCCCCACCTGAAAAGAAATCTCTTCCAAAGGCAAAACGCAAGCAGAGGAGAGGAGTTTCCGTTTCAGTTTTATAGCACCAAGCAGCTTTAGTCCAGAACAGTTGAGCTAAGCCACGCCCAGGCTCCTTGCTGTCTCCTTCTTGCTCACGCAGCAAATACTGATTCACTTTCCCAATAGCCCTCAACTCTCTCACATGCTGGTAGGCAGAGCCCCAAAACTAAGCCCGACCACACAGTTTCATAGCGATATATAAACAAATATACGGTAATATATAAACTAATATGCAAAAACAATATGCAAAAACTAATATGCAAAAACATCAATCCTGTTATCACATATATTATCTTCCATTATAATATCGATTATATAACTGTCAGAAATATTTACTCATCTCTTTTTCTTTCTCCTATAAACCATATTTCACCTAATTCCACTCCTCTAACCTCAGTCTCTGTCATTTAACCATTTATAGAATAGTTGCCATGTTATGAAATAGTCCAAATTTTCTTTTCCTTTAATTCTAAGGGTTAGCTTATCCATCTCTGCACATTCCAGAATTTTTAAAATTATAATATAGGCATCGTATTTATTTTATTTTTCCCCAAAGCCTAAGCCGAGGAGTCTTACCATTGGAATCAGTGCTCCAAGAGTTGAAGTGGTCAGAGGAGGAAGTTGAGGGTACTAGGAAAAAAAAAACACAATATGAACATAAATACTTGAGATGCATTATTTATTTCTTGCTCCAAGGACTTTGTTCTCCATCGGTGTTCCAAAATTTAGTTTTTTACCTCTGATGAGGCTCAGGGTAGAAGAGCTGAAGAAGAACTGAAGAAGAACTGAAGAAGAACTGAGTGAGAGCTATAGAAGAACTGAAGAAGAACTGAGGAAGAACTGAAGAAGAGCTAAAGAAAAGCTGAAGAAGAACTGAAGAAGAGCTGAAGAAGCTTCTTGGATGAGAAGCGAAATGTATTCAAAGAAAAACCAGAACGTCCAGTTTCCTTTGGGGCAACCATGATGTGGACGACTGAGAAGCCCCATGGACGTTCCCTCTTTAGGAACCAAAGATCCAATTGTCTGAAGTTCTTGATTTCTCAACCCTCTGAGAAGCCACCTTCTGCTGTGGCTGGCTTGAAGGCTACCAAGACCTTGGACCTCCTGCCCAACGGCGTTGATAAAGGCAACCCGGTCGATTCTTGAAATACACCGAGAACCAAGCAAACTCACCATTCCCTCGGTGATGTCCAGGTTCAAGAGCCCTTGTTTCTGCAAGACGCCCAACACGGAGCTGAGGAAATTGACCGACAGTCCCAGCTGAGAGTTGGTTGTGTCTTCCATGGGTGGCATAGGTGGCATGGGCACTCGGGGGGGTGGAGGGAGGGATTCCGGCTTGCCCAGCGGGTAGTCGATGAGTGGGCCGGCCACATGCCCAACCACCGTCTGGGAGGAAGAGATAATACAGTGGTAAACCTCAGGAAAGGCTGGAGAAGCACTTGCATGTTACAGGTAGCCCTCAACTTACTATAGCTCATTTAGTGACCAAAGTTACAATGGCACTGGGGGAAAAAAAAGCAATTCATGACCGTTTTTCACATTTATGACCATTGTAGCATCCCCATGGGTCATGTGATCAAAACACAGACCACTGGAAAGTGACTCATATTTATTTATTTTTATTATAAAAAGTTTTTTATTTTAACAAAACCACATAAAACATACAACACAAAACATAAAAACGTCATCCTTCTTCATAAATTTACAAACAGTGTATCAGTTGGTTTACCACTTTTTTTTGTGCATCCGTTTCCTAAATGCTAATATAGTTATATTACATAATAACTCATATTATCGATCAACAATTGTACAACCTAGTATCATTACTGAGAAATCGTTTAACTATAATTTTATTAATTCATACTTTAACGAGATAACTATAATTTACTTAATTTATTTTGCAACAAATCGTAAAATCATACCAAATCTATCTTAATAAGGTTTTATAAAAATAATATCCAAAAAAAATTATATCCTAAATCTAAATATTCTATTATTGTGTTTTATTATCTAACCATTGATAAAAAAAGATCCCAAACTTCATAAAATTGTTTATCTTCTTGTTCTCTAATTTCAAATGTCAATTTACTCATTTCAGCACAATCCAATATTTTCTTAATAATTTCTTCCTCTGATGGAGTTTTCTCACTCTTCCAGTTTTTAGCAAATACAATCCTAGCCGCTGTTAATACATTTACAATCAAATACTTCAAATTTTTATTATATGCATCAGGTAAGATTCCCAATTAAAAAAATCTCTGGTTTCAAGTCTATATGTGTCTTTATCATTTTTTTCCAACCATATGCAAATTTTTTTCCAACCATATGCGAATTTTAAAGTGACTCATATTTATGACGGACACAGCGTCCGGGGTTGTGATCCACTTTTGCGACCGTCTGACTAGCAAAGTCAAACGGGAAGCCAGGATCACTTAACCGTGTGACTAACTTCACAACTGCAAATGATTCACTTAGCAACCACAGCAAAAATGGTTGTAAATTGGTGGGGGGCGGGGGGGAATTCATTTGACAACGGTCTCACCTAGCAACAGAAATTTTGGGTTCCACTGTGGTCGTAATGCAAGGACTACTACCTGTATTCTCTTCCTCGGTCTTATTGATGTCATGGTGGAAACTACAGTGAAGATGTCAGTTGCATGAAACCGTGATTGATTTAAACATAGTTTTTTTAAAAAATAAATAAAATAACACGTTTATTACACACATTTGGTTCTTTTTTGCACTACTCTGACCAAACCCACATCACTCACAATACGGGTGGTCCTTGACGTATGACTGAAATGTTGAGCTCAATTGTGATCTTAATTCAAGGACTACTTGACTGACGCCCATAATTGCATTCATGCATTTTGTTGGAATTTTGTTAGTATCAGTCTTGGTTAGTTGTTTTTATGGTTTGCTGTGTTGTGAAGGACTAAAATTTCTAAGGGAACGACTGCTAGTCTAATTCTATTGGAACTAGAACTACCCTCGTGCCGTTTTCTCTGTTGGAAGTGCTACCTAATGAGTTCGAAATGGAGAGACCCCATTATCCCTGAAACCATGATGAGGGTTGATGCTGACCATTCACAAGACCAATTGGGCCTCGTTGGGCCTGCACCAAAGGGCAGCTGAAGCAACGTGGCAGAGCAAACTCAGATTGAAGACTTACATTTAAATCAATCTCCAGGAAATGTCCTGTGACCAATGGAAGGCTGGAGACTGTATACTGGACACTTCCCAGTATTCCCAGAGGAACCAGAGCTGCAGAGAACAAGAAGGTCAACAGATACCATGGAATGGGCGCCATCACTTGGCAGCTCCTCACATTGACATCAATAAGTTGCATATCCTTAGAGAAACATGGTCTGGCCTTTATAGGTGCTCCATTTCTCTGAAGAGGAGGAGGAGGAGGAGGAGGAGGAGGAGGAGGAGGAGGAGGAGGAGGAGGAGGAGGGGGAGGAGGAGGAGGAGGAGGAGGAGGAGGAGGAGAAAGGAAGAGAAAGAAGAGAAGAGGAAAAAGGGGGGAGAAGGAGGAAGAAGAGAAAAAGGAGAAAAGGAGAAACAGAAGGAGAAGAGGAGGAGGGTGGAAGGAGAGGAAGAGAAGGAGGAGGAAAGGAGGAGAAGGGGAAGAGACAAAGAGAAAATGAGAAAGAGAAGAGGAGGAGGAGGAAAGGAAGGAAGGAAGGAAAGAAAGAAAGAAAGAAAGAAAGAAAGGAAGGAAGGAAGGAAGGAAGGAAGGAAGGAAGGAAGGAAGGAAGGAAGGAAGGAAGGAAGAAAGAAAGAAAGAAAGATTTTTGCAAAGACACAGAACTGAGAAAAAATGATCCTGGTTTCTCTTCAGTTGCTCTAACATGAAGAAGAGTCTTCAAATACACAAGAAGAAGAAAGCAAAAACTCACAGTTCACAAGTCCAATCTGGTCATTGACAAGGCCCAGGACTACGTCGAGGACGGGACAAAGCTGGAAAATTTCAAATGTGTGTGATTTTCTATTCGTGGTTATCTCCATCTCTTGGACATCCATCTCTGAAGCTGAAGTATTCATTGACACAAGAAGAGTTCTCCACTCCTCTACTCATTGCAGAATATCTTCCGCCACCAGACTTGAAATTCTAGACCTAGAAAACCTAGAACTACGCCGCCTCTGGTCCGATCTAAGTATAGTATATAAAATCATGCATTGCAATGTCCTACCTGTCAATCAATACTTCAGCTTCAACCACAACAACACAGGAGCAAACAATAGATACAAACCCAAGGTTAATCGCACCAAACTCGATTGCAGGAAATACAACTTCAGCCACAGAGGGGTCAATGTCTGGAATCCTCTACCTGACTCTGTGGTTTCTTCCCCAAACCCCAAAAACTTTAACCTTAGACTGTCTACTATTGACCTCACTCCTTTCCTAAGAGGTCTGTAGCGGGCGTGCATAAGTGCACCAATCGTGCCTATCGTCCCTGTTGTATTGTTTCTTTTTATTCTATATGTATCCATTTCATGTTTTCATAACTATGTTTATACTTATACCTGTTATCTTGTGATTGACAAATAAATAAATAATAAATAAATAAAAGATAGATAGATAGATAGATAGATAGATAGATAGATAGATAGATAGATAGATAGATAGATAGATATTGTAGACATGAAGATAGATAGATAGATAGATAGATAGATAGATAGATAGATAGATAGATAGATAGATAGATAGATATTGTAGACATGAAGATAGATAGATAGATAGATAGATAGATAGATAGATAGATAGATAGATAGATAGATAGATAGATATTGTAGACATGAAGATAGAGATAGATAGATAGATAGATAGATAGATAGATAGATAGATAGATAGA